TGAATTTTTAGTAGAGACGGGGTTTCACCGTGTTAGCCAGGATGGTCTCGATCTCCTGACCTCGTGGTCTGCCCACCTCGGCCTCCCAAAGTGCAGGGATTACAGGCGTGAGCCACCGCGCCCGGCAATATATTTTTAAATTCTTATTAGGCAACACTGAAATGTCCATGAAGATGGTTCACCTATGGGAATGAAAATTACAAGCTATTGTCTTTTGAGGATAAATGGAACATATTCCTTAGTTTCCTACAAAGGGCCCTTGTCTCTTCCTGTGAGACTTTTTCAAATACATATTTTGGACATTTCTCTTTCATTATCAGACTGTGGCAAGGAGGAAATTGCATGCGGAAATAACTCTCTAGGATGAGCAGAGCCTGCTCTATCCCTTTCCAAGCCTTCTGTGACCTCCCAACTGGAAGTGATAGCAGCAGCACCCCACCTGGAGTGGCCACTGCCATGATGCTGGCTGCAATGGGGGAGCCACAACTGGGACCGCAGCACTCCACGGAGCTGGAGGGAGCTGGGAACACATGGCGCCCCCACTCCTTCCAAGTTGGAGGGACAGGAGACCCTCCCTCCCAGGAGTAGTTGCAGCAACCCAGTCACAGCCGCAAACCCGGGCTCCCCTTCAGCAGTGACTCCACCAGCTTTCACAACACAGAAGTCAAACTTAGGCACCCTAGTTTCTAGGGTGCCCTTCAGGAACTTTTATTCGTTCAGGGCAGCCAGCCAATTTTTAAGCGCAGTGTCTCTTTGTAATCATAAATCATTATGTTTCATGAATCTTTCAACACTTTCGTCTTTCAGTTCTTTCGAAATTCTTGGGTGGATACCACTTGATCTTGTCAGCTGAGCTTGTTTGCTGACAGGTCTAGAACCTTGGGGTTACCAATGTTATTGCCTACCTTCCCTCTGACTATCTGTGGGACCAATAACCTCATTTCTTGGAATCCATCCTTAGGAAGTAATCAAAGATGTTGAGGCCAGGCGCGGAGGCTCACACCTGTAATCCCAGCACTTTGAAAGGCCAAGGTAGGCGGATCACTTGAGGCCAAGAGTTCGAGACCAGCGCGGCCAACATGATAAAACCCCATCTCTACTAAAAATACAAAAATTAGCCAGGCATGATGAGTGCACACCTGTAATCCCAGCTACTTGGGAGGCTGAGGCATGAGAATCGCTTGAGCCCAGAAAATGGAAGTTGCAGTGAGCCGAGATCACGCCATTGCACTCCAACATGGCAACTGAGGGAAACTCTCTCTCAAAAAAAAAAAAAGAAAGAAAAGAGGCCAGGTGCAGTGGCTTACACCTGTAATCCTAGCACTTTGGGAGGCTGAGGCTGGCGGATCACTTGCCACCTCTGCCACCCCTGAGACAGCACGAACAACCCTTCCTCTTCCTCCTCAGCTTACTCAATGTGAAGATGGTGAGGATGAAGACCTTGATGATGATCTATTTCCACTTAATGAATAGTAAATATATTTTCTCTTCCTTAAAAAACAGTGTTCACATAATATGAATGTAGCAGATACTTCCAAGATACCAACCTCCTTTTCAATACAACTACAACTATGGCTTTGAACAGTGTTTAAAATAATATCAATAAATATTTATTTGTATATGAAAACAGGAAAAAGGTAAACTAAAGCCATGGGGGTTGTGTTAGGGTAGAGGGATTACAGGTAATTATTTTTCTCCATTTTGCAAATTTCCTTTAATGATACTGTCGTTGCTTTTTTTTTTTTTTTTTTTT